AATTTAAGGGAGGCAATTGCGGGACGTTGTTATCTGTTGTTGGTTTTCGTTAACAATTCAACGTGCGTGTCGCTTGGTCGTTAAGTCGGGGAACGCTCTCAGACTGGCTGTATTTAACGAAAACGCTCGCGCTGCGTTAACGTTATCTGTAATTGAAAGTAATTACGGTGAAAAATGCTTGTGACTGTCAGGCGTGGCTGACGTATAAACCGGGGTTCCGGAACTGCTGTACCGGAAAACTGCCTGGCGTTGAATTAATAACGAGTAGGATAATTCGAGCAGCTCACGGAAATGTTAGTAGTGCCGTCGATACATCTTATTCTGTCCTACCCTCTGAGACGATATTCCCATTTTTATCGCGCGGCTACGGAACTGTAATTTTTAGTCGGACCGATTGCCCCGGGATCGATCGAGATATCTCCATTCTTTTTTATCGCATCTACAACCTTGCATTCTATATATAAACCGTATCGTCTCATTATCCATGCATACGGTTCCCCGCGAATCCATAATTTAATTCACGTATAAATATTAAAATCAATGGAAGAACAGAAATTTGATCGAAGTGCACCAATTGACTGTGCCGTGGAATTTTTATGCAAAGGTCAATCTTCGTGCGTCCGTTCGCAGAAATGAGAATAAAATATCAAATAAACGTTTCACTCTTCCATCGTGTGTTTCATTAAAACTCGAATAAAGTATAAACCTTTTCGCGCTTGATCTAATGTTTCATAGTAAGATTTGATTCGTTTCGGATATCTGTTCAAAGCTGCGTATTCCAAAAGAGTTTTGGACCATTGTCAGCCGTCGATTCGCCTGGAATATCGACAAGCCCGATGACCAACGATTGGAAAAATATAGCCGACAGAACGATTGGCTCTGTCGCATCAAGGCAACGTAACCGATATTGATATGCGTTTGAGGCTTCGTTCGGCGATTCCGCGGGTGGGGGGTTAAGCTTCGTGACAGTTTTAAAATCGCGTCGGTGTTCATGCCGCGACGGGGTAGCGGCGGCCGGGCACGCCGTTGCGCGACACGACATCCGGGGATGGCGAGAGGGGGATGTAATGAACGCGCGGCTGAAATCAACAGCTACGCCGTTCCGATAAAAATGTCAATATTCGGGC